TTAAGAAAATAGAAGGGCCAGGAAGTTCATATTGAGTGAAACTCCTGGAATGATCAAAAATCTTCAATAAACCATAAAATATCTAATAACACGTGACAAACTATTTAAAGTGTGAAAAAGAAAAGGTAACTATTATTTAATTCAGTGAAACTTTCTCCTAAACTATTGTAACTATTGTACTATTGTAAGTATGTATTAATAATGAACAAGTAACAGGTTTATTCCATGCTAAACAAAGAAGAAAGAAAACACAACGTTTCGGCCGTGGAACCTTCTTCAGGTGTCCTGAAGGCTCCGTGGCCGAAACGTTGTGTTTTCTTTCTTCTTTTTTCAGTATGGAATAAACCTATTACTTGTTCCTTTGTAGCCTACGCATGCTGAGGCAGCTACCCACCTGATGTATTAATAATGTTTGAGTGGGGAGTTGTGTCAGCATGCGTATGCTGCAAAGGATCTGGTATTAAGTACTGAAAGAAACACTTTACTTTTGGAGCATTCTTCATTATGTATTTATAATTCCAAAATGCAAACTGCAGTATATAAAGGAAATATGGTTAGACCTAACAACCTATAATATGTCACGAAACTGCAGGGCTTCTTCAAAACACGATTAAGACATGTTCTTTAGATTTTCACAAAAGACCTAAAGTTCATGCATAATTCAAGTAATTGTAAATAACATGTAACAGATACACCTCACAGAAATCACATCTTTTACTATTGAACAGTCTTGCAAAAGTTAACACAAATTAAAGAATATAAATATTTTGCCGTTTTTATCTTAATTTCAATTTCCACAAAAGGGCATTCTCAGTGATTTGCATTCTTTAAAATATGAATATGTTGCCTATACTAATATTCAGTATCATTCTTTTTATCCTTCATTCTAAATACTTTAAACCTGCTTTGTTTGTTTTGGATACCATGACACTCCAAAAGTGTTAGAATACCTTTCTCAATTTCAGTAGTGCCAATGTCTCACAGGGCTATGAGCAGTTTTACAAAAGTTAGCTAATGATATTGTTGACCATGGAGAGCAAGTGTGATGACAACTGTAAGACTTTCTGTTTCTCCCAGGTGAACATTAGCTGTAAAAATGTTC